GAGAACCAGCCATTCCATTCATGGGTGGTAAGAAGATTGAACAAGTTAAGGGTGATATTGAAATTACTGGAGTTGATTTCGCTTACCCATCTCGTCCAAATACTAATGTCATGACTGATTTCAGTTTGGATATCAAATCTGGTCAACAAATTGCTTTGGTTGGTCCATCAGGTTCAGGCAAGTCAACCATTGTAGGTCTTTTAGAAAAATTCTATACTCCAAATAAGGGTACAATTAAGATTGATGGAGTTGATGTTGCTGAGCTCGATCCAATGTGGTTGCACAGAAATTGTTTGGGTATTGTCTCACAAGAACCTGTATTATTTGCTGGAACAATCAAATATAACATTGCCTATGCCTTGTTAGGTCCTAATGATAGTGTCGAATCTGGTAAAGTTGTCACCATGGAACAAGTTGAAAATGCTGCCAAGAGAGCTAATGCTCACAGCTTTATTATGGATTTGCCTGAAAAGTATGACACTATTTTGGGTGAAAAGGGTGTTTCCTTGTCTGGTGGTCAAAAACAAAGAATTGCCATTGCAAGAGCTCTCTTGCAAGATCCAAAGATTCTCTTATTGGATGAAGCCACATCTGCTCTCGATACTGAATCTGAAAGATTAGTTCAAGCTGCTTTGGATGAATTGATGAAGGGAAGAACAACCATTTGTATTGCTCACAGATTGACAACTGTCATTAATTCAGATGTTATCTGTGTCTTAGTTAAGGGTGTCATGAAAGAAAAGGGCACTCACAGCGAGCTCATTAAGATTCCACAAGGTATCTATAGAAACTTGGCAGAAAAGCAAATGATCTTTACTGAAGAAAAGGTCGAAGATGTTGAAGATGTCATGGACGTACTTGTGGATGATGAAAATATTGTCGAAGTTGAAAATGATGAAGAATAAATGTAAATACTCTATTAAACAAATCCTCATTCATGTACATAAACTCTGTCTTTGAAAATGCATCATTTTCTATTATAATCACTCACTTTGTTTTTGCAATCTTTTGAAGTTTACTCTAAAATTTGCATGCCTCACCATTTCCCTTTACGCTGCAATTTTGTGCATCTCTGACTTTGAACCGTCATCTTGAACAAGTTCATAAGAAGTCTTCATGATGATTCCAATTACATTAAAAAAAATACAACGATATCGATCGTCTTAAGAACCAAAAGAATAATGTCTGAAGTAGAACAACAACAATTAGCAGCATCATCATCATCGGCTGAAGAACAAAAAGAAGAGGAAGAACAAACAGCTGAAGATGAAGCACAAGATGGAACAGGTTTGAAAAAACAAAGATTTATTCCAGAGTATTCCGAGACCAAGGATGTTTGCTTTAATGTATTCAAGTGCAAATCTCCAAAGTTTGATGTTCGTTCTTTTAGTATTTTGGATAAGCAATCAATCTTTGGATTTATTTGCAAGCGTGATGGACCAATTGGAGGTAGTTTGTATGTTGTCAGTGTAAACGGACAATCATTGAAGGATGAAACAACAGATAAGAGAGAATTCATCTATGCCACACCAAAGCTTAAATATGCCTACAATAAGTCTTTTGATAATTATGTTGAAAAGTTTGAAGAGGAAGAAAAAATTGATTCTTATTACATTTCCGAAAAGTGGAATGGAACCAATATTCTCTTGTTTAAATATCATGATAAGGATGGTAATGAATATATCAGTGGTAAGACCAAGGGTATGCCAACATTGACAGACACTGATTTTGGTAACTTTTTATCGAGTACTTTAACTGCATTGCATTTGGATCAATTTATCGGAAAGTATGAAGAATTGAGTTTGAGAGATGAATTGCTCAAGATTCACAATGATACAGCCAATCCACACTACAGTCCTCATATTCAAGAATTTTTAAATAATCCAAGTGTTCAATGCATTTCATTCGAAGTTTGTGGTAACACTCTTCCTCACTTGGTTAAATATGAATTTGGAGTTGATTTGAAGCCACTATTCTATGGGTTCTCCAATGGTAAGATCAAGCCATGTATGAAAGTTAAGGGAATGGAAGAATTTGGTCCAATCAAGTATTATCCATATCAATCCCATGCCAGTTGTGTGAAATTGTGCAAGATGCTCCAAGCTGATAGCTTGAAGATGAATGAAGAGTATAGAAAGCAACACAATCTTAAACACAAGTATGAGTATGAACACTTTGCCATTGAAGGCCATGTATTATATTTGTTGGACTCTGAAGGTTATCTTGTTACTCGTAACATGTACAAAGTCAAGTCTGCTGATGTCGAAGAAGTTCACTGGCAAAAATTTGATGATGTCAAAAAGGGTCAAGTTAAAGATGCTGTCTTGAAGATGAAACAAAGAGGATTATCACTCACAGACGAAAAAGCCTTGAGAAAGGAATTGGATATTGGAGATAAAGAATGGGGAAAGTTCTCTAAAGATATTCTTAACTATATTAAGCAACTTGGTGATAAATCCACACCTGTAGCAACAACATCAACATCAAATGGAAAGAAACCATCCAAGCATCATACTAAGGCTCCTGCAACACAAAAGGGAGCATCTAGCTCAACAGAAAAGAGTGAGTCAACAACTAGCTCAGCTTCATCTTCCACTGCTACCACTACAGCCACAACAGAAGGAGGTGAACAAAAACAACCAAATAAGAGAAGAAACCATCACAAAAAGAAGCAAGCATTCGTAAAGAAGGAAGCTAAGGATGAATAAATATTGAATAGTTTGATTTAATTATTTAAAAATTATTTTTAGTTGTTAACAAGATCCACCTCCATCAAATGCTTTTGTAAGGGAATGAGATTCTTTGATTTGGTTGATTGGCCAAAGACACAAAAGCATTGATCTTAATATCAGGAACCTCAAGTTGTCGTGATGGTTTCAGAGGATCCAGTTTTAATTGATGGAGTTTCGACCAGGGCTGAACATTGGAAATTAGTTTGTATTATTATCTAATAAACTAAACCTTTCAACACTAACATTAGAAAATAATTGTGACCTTCCAAAAGAAAACACATAAAAAACCGACATACGCAACAGTTCCTTCCAGTTAGTCCTCTCTTCATCAACAATAGAAGAGGATTGAACAAGCAATCAATCGATTATAACCAACAACAAGAACCAGCAAGAAGTGGAAGAAAATACGAACAAGAAACATTTGAAGCCAAATGAAGAAAATTGGGCAAGTGCTCTTGTCATCAAACACCAACAATATTATTATTTCAAGTAGCAGTCAGAGAAACACAGAAATTTATTGTTGTTATAAGCAATTTATTAATTGGATCTAACAACAAACGTCGGATCTTCATCATCTTCATTTATCCATTCATCATCAATAATTGGGACAATAACTTTATCAACCCAATCAAACCCAATCAAGAACTTGAAAAAACTCATCAGCCGAATCCTTCTTAATTTGATCTCAATCACGATAATAATTTTAATATTCATAATAATTAATAATTAATAATTAATAATTATAATACAAATCACCTCTAAATCATCAACCTACATATATGATCATGAATGGATATCCAACATCACCGAATAGGAATTTCATACAGCCTTCGTCATCATCAAGTGGAGGAGGAGCTTCTTCGATATCACCACCTAATTCATCAAGTCCAAAGGTAGGAGGTGGAAGACAGAGGAGGAAGGCTATTCTAGTTTCTCCTTCATCGTCTCCTTCGATGAATGGACGAAACTCTGCAGATTCGAATACTTCTTCACCTGCTTCTTCACCGAACACGAGAATAATGATGGGTTCTCCATTGATTGGCAATAATCAAATGATGAATGGCGGTCAAACATTGCCACCATTCATGATGAATAATAATTTTGTGTTCCATCCAAATTCTAATCAACAACAGCCGAATCAAAATGGTTTTCCACAAACAAATACTACATCATCATCTCCACCTCTCTTTCTTAATCATCAACAACATAATAATACGAGAAATGTAAATACAAACCAACAACAAGCATATTTTCCGAGTCAATTTCACAATCATCATAACTATCCACAAGTGCCTCTCACGTTTACTCCATCTCCATTGTATGTTCAATCTCCTTCGAATAGTTATGTTCCATCTCCATCAAATTCATATTCGACAACAGGAACAATAAGAAGTAATCTTGCCAATACGAAACTAGTCGATTCTTTCGTTATTGAGGAAGACGATGAGGATGATGATGAATTCATGTCTTCAAAAAATTCTCAACCTATCTCTGTAATTTCACCTGCTTTTAGTGTAACTCCTGCTTATAGCTCAGTGCCTAAAAAGCCAAATCCAAACGATGCCCTCGAATCGTTCGATCTCATTGATGACGACGATGATGAGAGGTATGATATTGATCAGAATTTTGGATCGTTCAACATTAATACAATACATTCACCAATCCAACAACCAGTTCAAAACACGACACCTAATTTCATGATCACACCAATAACACAGGATGAATTTGATGAGATGGATATTGATTTTGGATCTTCACCTTTTAAAAGTAATGCATTTTTACATGCATCTAAACCTTCTACTACATCCAATCCTCAGCAACAAGTTAATCATGATTTCAATAGTGATGTTCTGTTTGTGAGTGATGAGGGATCTGGTAAATCCGAACCTCAAGATGGTAGAAGAAGTACTGCAGACAATGATGATGAGTATGATCTCATGGGCCTATCAGAAATTGAGACGAAACCTTCTGAAACAAGCAAAACTCACTCCTCAAAGAAATCTCATTCATCATCAAATTTCCAAAAGAATTTTGTAATGAACGGAAACGCAAACTCTTTCGAT